GTGAAATTAAATACATGGTTGATTGTTTTTAAGATGACTACATGGCACGAATAAGCTTTTACCCATAATGATTGCTGAGAACGGATTTATACGAGATTCTCGAAAGAGTAGATTCAAAGCTGAGGAATATTCAGTAAACATATCGAGACAATATCAAAAGCTCATTATTTAGGTGCTGCCTTCCAGAAGAATTTTCCGCTTAGCTCAATAAGCTCCATATCATTCAATTATTGCTTCACAAGCAAACGTGAAATGCGTTATACTTTAGGCAATAACCGTGTTGAGCTCCCGACCTCAATCGATTGACGAAGTTGCTGAAGCCAATGCCCGTCACACTGAATATGGAAAAACGAATAGAGAGGTGAGTTGAAGTTGGCTAACATACCTTCATCGGAATGATTCGCTGCCATCTTAGTTAAAAGCTTCATGGAGTGTGCTTAACGAGCAACATACACTGCTCCGCTCCGTAGCTGGCAGTGGAGTTGAGCAAATGGGCTCATTGACGCAAGAGTGGGAGAAGTTCGAACTGATGTTGGATACCCATCAACAAATGATCAAAGAACAGGTAAGCACGGAAAATAGAGGAAGGGGAGCTATGAATAATGCTTATAAAGGTGGAAGTGCTAAAATCAAATGTGGATACAAGAGTAAAATCGTTGAATGACGAATCGGAGAAGCTGCTTGCGAGATGGAACCAATTCAAACCGAAAAGCGACGCGTTACAAGGCGATAGGTAAACTTAAATCTTCTCAATTTTTTCACATAACAAGGGAAAATAAAAACGCATATTTCCAGACAAGCACTGTTAAAAGCTATAGAGTTCATAAAGGAGAAACGAGCGGAGTACGACGAGTTGATTGTAAGCAAGGAAAAACTTGAGTAAGTTATTAGTATAGAAGATCACACTTTCTTCAAAGGAAAACGTAACAGTTTAGCTTAACATGGAAGAGGAAGACAAAACAGTTTGTTACGGTTTGCAATTAAATGTCCACTTAAGGCCCTAAATGTGTTTCCGATCC